CAGCACTTTGGGAGGCCAAGGCAGGCGGATCACCAGGTCAGGAGATGGAGACCATCCTGGCTAACACGGTGAAACCCCGTCTCTACTAAAAAATACAAAAAAATTAGCTGGGCATGGTGGCGGGCACCTGTAATCCCAGCTACTCAGGAGGCTGAGGCAGGAGAATGGCGTGAAACTGGGAGGAGGAGCTTGCAGTGAGCCAAGATGGCGCCACTGCACTCCAGCCTGGGCGACAGAGCGAGACTCCGTCTCAAAAAAAATAATAATATATACAATCAAGCTGCACCCTGACCACCTTGGGCACATGTTCTCAGGATCTCCTGGGGGCTGTGTCACAGGCCATGGTCGCTCATATTTGGCTCAGAATACATCTCTTCAAATATTTTACAGTTTGACTCTTTTTGTTGACACAAACAAATATTTATTGTGCACCTAGCAGGTGGCAGGCTTAGTCCTAGATGCGAGGTCATAGTAAATACTAAGAAAAATAAAGCAGAATAAGGAGTCAGAGATCAAGTAGGGTAGAGACATGCCATTTATGATATGGTGTTCTGTGAAGCAGTGGAGAAAAGACTGAAGGAAGTGAGGAAGCTGTAAGAAAACCTGGGGGGGGCCTGTGGTGGTTCACACCTGTAATCCCAGCTTCTCAGGAGGCTGAGGTGGGAGGATTACTTGAGCTCTGGAGTTTGAGACCAGCCTGGGCAACATAGTGAGACCTGCTCTCTACAAAAAATAAAAAATTAGCCGGGTGTGGTGGCACATGCCTGTAATCCCAGCTATTCAGGAGGCTGAGGCAGGAGGATCGCTTGAGCCTACAAGATTGTGGCTGCAATGAGCCATGATCTGGCCACTGCGTTCCAGCCTGGGGACACAGTGAGACCCTGTATTAGTCAGTTTTCACACTGCTATACCCAAGACTAGGTAATTTATAAAGAAAGGAGGTTTGACTCACAGTTCTGCATGGCTGAGGAGGCCTCAGGAAACTTAAAATCATGGTGGAAGGCAAAGAGGAAGCAAGGCACCTTCTTCACAAGGCAGCAGGAAGGAGAGGTGCCAACTGAAGGGGGAAGAGCCCCTTATAAAACCATCAGATCTCGTGAGACTCACTCACTATCACAAGAACAGCATGGGGGAAACCACTCCCATGATCCAATTACCTCCACTTGGTCTCTCCTTTAGCATGTGGGGCTTATGAGGATTACAATTCAAGATAAGATTTCGGTGGAGACACAAAACCTAACCATATCAGACCCTGTCTCTAAAAAATAAAAATTAAAAAGAAGAAAAGAAAATCTGGGGGAAGAGCATTCCAAGCAAAGGGAATAGTAATTGCAAAGGCCCTGAAGTGTATAAAAGCTATGTAGAAGTTCAATGTGCCATTCAATAATGAGAAGCTGACCTCAGGTGGGTTGGCTGGTTCTATAATCTGAGCCCAAAAAGCAAGGACCACTTTCTCTTTCCTTCTTTTCTTTCTTTCTTTCTTTCTTTCTTTCTTTCTTTCTTTCTTTCTTTCTTTCTTTCTTTCTTTCTCTTATCTTTCTCTTTCTCTCTCTCTCTCTCTCCTCTCTCCTTCCTTCCTTCCTCCTTTCTTTTTCTTTCTTGACAGAGTCTTACTCTGTCACCCAGGCTGGCAGTGCAATTGGCGGCTATCTTCAGCTCATTGCAACCTCCGCCTCCCCTGGGGTTCACAATTCTCCTGCCTCAGCCTCCCAACTAGCTGGGATTACAGGTGCCCACCACCATGCCCGGCTAAGTTTTTGTATTTTTAGTAGAGACGGAGTTTTGCCATGTTGGCCAGGCTGGTCTCAAACTCGTGACCTCACGTGATCAACCCGCCTTGGCCTCCCAAAGTGCTGGGATTACAGGTGTGAGCCATCACACCTGGCTGCAAGAACCACTTTCTAGGCAAGAAAACCAGTAAAAGAAGAAATTCTGAGAAGATAACACTGGCTAAGTACGGAAGGCTCTGTTACCAGAAGGCTCTATTGTAGAAGGGCCCAGATGCCAGAAAATGGCCCTGAGCCAGGGAGCCAATGTCACTCTGGAAACAGGTCAGTAGTGTGAAGGGAGAGGCTCTTTCAGATGTCCCTGGCATGAATATTGTGGCAGGCAGAATAACGGACCCCCAAAGATACCCATTTTGTAACTCTCAACATCCGTGAATATATTACATGGTAAGGAGGTGTAAGCTAAAAGAATCCAAAGTCCCTTCACCGACTGAAGGGACTGCCTCTTGGCTAAGGGGACCTCTGGCAAAAACCTTAAAGAGTGAATTCCTGGCCATGACAAGAAGTGAGATTGAACATGTCTTGTTATACCCCCACCCTTTTGGAGCTTAGGCACAACAACTGACCAGCATTAATGTTAAAATAGAGATCATAACACTGACAAAACAGACTCTTTATGCCTAACATACCCAATTATAAACAAGACCTAAGGCTACGCAAGTCAAAGGTTAAATTGCAGTTGCTGGTCATCGATCTTGCGACATAGCATCCTTATCTTAAAACATTCCTTTCTGTTGACCCCCAAGTTTTACACAGAGCTTTACTCCTTTAACTAACTGCAAGTTAACGAATCTCAGAGGCCACCTATGACCTGTAAACCCCCACTTCAAAATATCCAGCTTTTTTTGGCCAAACCAATGTATAAACTCCATGTGTTGATTTACGACTTTGCCTGTAACTTCTACTTCCCTGAAATATATGAAACAGAGTTGTGACCTAACTGCCTCATGACCACTTACTCAAGGCTTCTTGGATTTGTGTGTCTTCCTGGGCCCCAATCACTCATGTTGACTTAGAATAAGTCTCTTCAAAATCTTTTAGAGTTTGTTTTTTTTCGTTAACTGAAGAATTAAGGTTGTAGGTGGAATTAAGGTTGCTAATCAGCTGACTTTGAGAAGGAGCAAGCATCCTGGATTATCCAGGTGGGCCCAATATAATCACAAGGATCCTTATAAATAAACAAGGGAGGCAGGGAAATTTGTGTCAGAGTGATTTGATATGAGAAAGGCTAAACCTATGCCTTTGAAGATAGAGAAAGTGGGTCAGTCATGAGCCAAGGAATGTGGTGACCTCTAGAAGCTACACAAAACTAGGAAACTGATTCTCCTCTGCAGCCTCCACAAGGGAATGAAGGCTGGCACCTAAACTCAAACAGCAAAATAAATTCAATAAGGAAGATTTGAAGATCAAAGACCTTCTGCTCGCTGGCTTCACATTTGCCATCACTAGGTCAGTGATGTTCAAATCATTTTTAGGCAATAGTTCTATGTGTCAGTTGACTAGGCCATGGAGTCAAGAGGGTTTGGTCAAGCATTATTCTAGGGTGTCTGCAAAGGTGTGTGTGTGTGTTTTAATACAGAGATAGGGTCTTGCTCTTGCTCTGTTGCCTAGGCTGGAGTGCTGTAGTATAACTATAGCTTACTGCAGCCGCAGCCTCCCAGGAGCAAGCAATCCTCCCATTTCAGCCTCCCAAGCAGGTAGAATTACAGGTGCATGCCAACACTTCTGGCTAATTTATTTTAAGTTTTTTGTATGGACACGGTCTTGCTCTGTTGCTCAGGCTGGTCTCGAATTCCTGGGCTCAAGTGATCCTCCTACCTCAGCCTCACATAGCCCTGGGATTACAGGTGTGAGCCACTGCACCCAGCCTGTAGGGTGTCCCTGCATGAGAATAGTATCTAAATCAGTAGGCTGAGTAAAGCAGATTGCCCTTTTTAATGTGAGTGGGCCTCATTCAACAGTTGAAAGCCCGAATAGAACAAAAAAGTTGACCGTTCCCTGAGTAAGAGAGAATTCTTCCTGCGTGATGATCTTCAATCTGGGACATTGACTTTTTTTCTGCCATTGGCCTGAAACATTAACTCTCCCTAAGTCTCGAGCCTGCGGGCCTTTGGACTGGAACTAAATTATCAGCTCTCCTGGGCCTCCAGGTTGTCTACTCACACTGCAGATCTTTCACCTTGCCAGACCCCATAATAGTGTGAACTAATTCATTATAAAAATAAATCTCGATTGCTGGCAAGATGGCCGAATAGAAACAGCGCCCACGTGTGGCTCCCAGTGAGATCAACGCAGAAGGTGGGTGATTTCTGCATTTCCAACTGAGGTACCCGGTTCATTTCACTGGGACTGGTTGGACAGTGGGTGCAGCACAGGGAGGGCGAGCCGAAGCAGGGTGGGGCGTTGCCTCTCCCAGGAAGTGCAAGAGGTTGGGGAATTTTCACCCCTACCCAAGAGAAGCCTGAGGGACTAAGCCTGAGGAACTCCAGCACAGACACTGCACTTGTCCCACAGTCTTCACAACCCACACACCACGAGAATCCCTCTGGTGCCCACCCCACCAGGGCCCTGGGTTTCAAGCACAAAACTGCGCGGCCATTTGGGCAGACACCCAACTAGCTGCAGGAGTTTTATGTTTGTTTTGTTTTCTTTTTTTTAACGGAGTCTCCTACTGTCGCCCAGGCTGGAGTGCAGTGATGCGATCTAGGCTCACTGCAAGCTCCGCCTCCCGGGTTCAGGGCATTCTCTCGGCTCAGCCACCCAAGTAGCTGGGACTCCAGGCGCCTGCCACCAGGACTGGCTAATTTTTTGTATTTTTTAGTAGAGACGGCGTTTCACTGTGTTAGCCAGGATGGTCTTGATCTCCTGACCTCGTGATCCGCCTGCCTCAGCCTCCCAAAGTGCTGGGATTACAGGCGTGAGCCACCGCGCCGGGCCTGCAGAAGTTCTTTTTTTCCCATACCCCAGTGGCGCCTGGAATGCCAGTGAGGCAGAACCATTCACTCCTCCGGAAAAGGGGTGCAGAAGCCAGGGAGCCAAGTGGTCTGGCTGGGCGGGTCCCACCCCCACTGAGCTCAACAAACTAAGATCCATCGGCTTGAAATTCTCTCTGCCAGCACAGCAGCAGTCTGAGATTGACCTGGGATGCCGGAGTTTGGTGAGGGGAAGGGCGCCCGCCATTGCTGAAGCTTGAGTACATGGTTTTATACTCACAGTGTAAACAAAGCCACTGGGAAGTTTGAACTGGGTAGAGCCCACTGCAGCTCAGCAAGGCTGCTGTGGTCAGACTGCCAGATTTCTCTTCTCTGGGCAGGGCATCTCTGAAAGAAAAAGGCAGCAGCCCCAGTCAGGGACTTATAGATAAAAATCCCATCTCCCTGGGACAGAGCACCTGGGGAAAGGGGTGGCTGTGGGTGCAGCTTCAGCAGACTTAAAGATCCCTGCCTGACAGCTTTGAAGAGAGCAGCAGACCTCCCAGCACAGCATTCGAGCTCTGCTAAGAGTCAGACTGCCTCCTCAAGTTGGTCTTGAATGGAACCAACCCAAGTGTCCATCAATGATAGACTGGATAAAGAAAATGTGGCACATATACACCGTGGAATACTATGCAGCCATAAAAAAGAATGAGTTTGTGTGAAGCTGGAATCCATCATTCTCAGCAAACTCACAAGAACAGAAAACCAAACACTGCATGTTCTCACTCATAAGTGGGAGTTGAACAATGAGAACACATGGACACAGGGAGGGGAATATCACACACTGGGGCCTGTCAGGGGGTGGGGGGCTAGGGGAGGGACAGCATTATGAGAAATGCCTAATGTAGGCGATGGGTTGATGGGTGCAGCAAACCACCATGGCACATGTACATCTATGTAACAAAACTGCACGTTCTGCACATGTATCCCAGAACTTAAAGTGTAATAAAAGAAAAAAAGAAAGAAAAAAAGAAATGATTGATGGTGTTTTTCAAAGGACCCCAGTCCCATTATTTGCCTTATAAATGGGACTGGGGTCCTTTAAAAAACACCTTTTATCATTTCTTGTTTTTTTTTGTTTGTTTGTTTTTGTTTTTTAACACAATTAATACCATACCATTGCAGAAAATGTGTATCAGTAAAAAGAAAATAAAACCACTGGCATTTCTACCACCCAGAGAAAAAAATAATAATAAATCTCTTTTGGCCAGGCTCGGTGGCTCACATCTGTAATCCCAGTACTTTGGGAGGCTGAGGCAGGTGAATCATTTGAGGTCACGATTCGAGACCAGCCTGGGCAACATGGCAAAACCCTGTCTCCACTAAAAATACAAAAATTAACCGGGCGTGATGTTGCATGCCTGTAGTCCCAACTACTCAGGAGACTGAGGTAGAAGGGTCACTTGTGCCTGGGGAGTGGAGGTTGCAGTGAGCCAAGATCGCACCACTGCACTCCAGTCTGGGTAACAGAGTGAGACTCTGTCTGCCTCCCCTGACAAAAAAAACAAAAACAAAAACATTTGAACAAACGTTAAGTGCATTCTTCCAACGACAATTCCTCTCGGGAGAGTTGGTGGACCAGAAGATGTTGAGAAACGTGAGCTCGCTGCATGTTGATTTTTCCAGGTGCTTAAGTCCTCACTGTGCTGTCCTTGTGACCTTCAGGCCTAGGTCATCAAGATGCACAGCACAGGACAGAAGCCCCTGTAGCCCTGCACCTGGTGACATGGAACTGCTTTGCTGGTCCACACAGACACAGGCTCCATCCAAGCCTGGCTCCTACCCATCACAGTTCTGTAGGCTGCCCATTTGCAGAAGGCCTTCCATCTGACACTCCTCCTCGCCTGCTTGTTCTCCAGCCATGTTGTGGCCAATTTGCCATGAGGAGGTTGCAGTGGCCAAACCTGTTGGAAACTGTGAGGTGTAACTGGGAGAGAAAGGACACAATCCAAATGTTCTTACTGCCTGTGATGATGCAGCTATAGCGATGTACTGGCTGCTCACAAGCCTGTTCCTTCTTCCATTGTAGAGCATGAATTATTCCCTTATCACTGCGTCAGGAGGGGGAACAGAAGTTTTTCTCATGCCTAATTTTGCGTTTTCAGTAAGGTCTTTTTCATCTTGTCCAGGAGAAACTGGAAAAAAAAAAAAAAGATACTTGAAATAAACTGAAGGACATTTAAACAAAGAAACACTTGAAATAAACTGAAAAGATTTTTTTTTTCTTTTTTAACATTAATGTATTTTGCAGGAAGAAAAAAATATATAAAGGACACTAAGGGCAAATAAATATATGTGTTTACAATAGCAAAGACATGGAATCAACCCGATGCCCATCAATGATAGACTGGATAAAGAAAATGTAGCACATATACATCATGGAATACTATGCAGCCATAAAAAGGAATGAGATCATGTCCTTTGCAGGGACATGGATGGAGCTGAAAGCCATTATCCTCAGCAAACTAACGCAGGAACAGAAAACCAAACACTGCATGTTCTCACTTATAAATGGAAGCTGAACAATAAGAACACATGAACACAGGGAAGGGAACAACACACACCAGGGCCTGCTGGGGTGGCAGGGGGAGGGAGAGCATCAGGATCAATAGCTAACGCATGCTGGGTTTAATACGTAGGTGATGGGTTGATAGGTGCAGCAAACCACCAAGGCACACGTTTACGTATGTAACAAACCTGCACACCCTGCACATGTATCCCAGAACTTAAAAAATGTGTGTGTGTGTGTGTGTGTTTAAATGGAAAACCATCAACCAAGAGAAAAGCAGTATCCACTCGCAGATTCAGAACCCAGAGTCCTGAGGCCTTACATGTCTGGAATCAATGCATTCTCAACTGGTCCTGTAGTAAGGTGCTCATGGGGTTTGTCTTCAAACTCACTGTTAGAGGACTTTTTAAATCACAGGCTAAGCAAACCGGCCGAACTACTGCCACTCTTCTAGGTGGGAACTCTCAGCTGTTGCTGAAGGCCCCGGATGTTCCTGTGGTACTCATTCAGATTCCTCACTCTCAGTTACATTCCTTCCTTTTTTGACTAGCAGGAAACAGCAGGACTGGCCAGATTCCCACTTGCCTATCTATCACTCTTGGATAATTCTTCTCAATTGTGATGCTTCTGTGGCACATTGACCATCTGTGCCTCTAGAACCTAAGCAAGGGATTGCTGCCTCTTCCTCTTCCTCTTCCTCTTCTTCTTCTTCTTCTTTTTTTTAGATGGAGTCTTGCATTGTCACCCAGGCTGGAGTGCAGGTGGCACAGTCTCGGCTCACTGCAACCTCCGACTCCCTGGTTCAAGTGATTCTCCTGCCTCACTCTCCCAAGTAGCTGAGATTACATGCGCGCACTACCACGCCCAGCTAATTTTTGTATTTTTAGTAGAGATGGGATTTCACCATGTTGGCCAGGATGGTCTCGATCTCCTGACCTCATGATCCGCCCGCCTTGGCCTCCCAAAGTGCTGGGATTACAGGCTTGAGCCACCGCGCCCGGCTAGGGCTTGCTTCTTCTAACCAACCATGGGCTGGCTTTGTCTGGTGACCTTGTCTGCCTGCTGTTTCCCTGTTCCTGCTTCCATTTACCAATTCCAGTGGTGTAGCATGCTTTCAGCCCTTGGCCGGCTGACCAGCAAGAAGATGGACCTTTACATTCAAGCAAAGGTGGCTTTATAACAAGAAGAACCAAAGGCTGAAACAATCTTTTGCTGCTGCAAAGAACACATTTTATGTTTCTTCTTCTAATCTTGACAAATGCCCTCTTGAAGAGATTCCATGCTACTTTCTCTTTCTCCCTGGACGGGACCTTAATGTAGCACAGTGAGACCCAAATGTTCTATTACCAGTGCTCTGGGCTGTGGGGCTTTCAGCTGCTGCTGCCAAACTCTGGTTGTCTAAAATTCTTCCGCTAGAGACTAAAAGATGATACAATTCCTTTAACCCAAGACTGGGACTTAGGGTTCTCAATCTCCACCTGGTTGTTTACCTGTTCTTTGCTACCTACCTGCGCTGACTTGGAAGCCTGCTGAGAAAGGCACAATGTGGTGCTTGGGGCATCTCCCGGACCCCAAGGCCATCAGGCAATTGCCATGTATTCAGAGGGAAGTTTTATTTATTTATTTATTTATGTATGTATTTATTTATTTATTTTTTATTTTTTATTTTTTGTCATCTGCAACTCAGGAGCTGGGCCTCTGCTACGGGCACTTACAAATGATGTTTTCTTGTTAAAAGACTTAACAATCTGATATTCAATATGGTTCATGGTGGAGCGCCAGCATTTCTCCCTCCCTCCTGGTTTGCCTACAGAGGTAGACTCAGAAGGAGATTGTGGTCTGCGTTTCCTGTTAGGAACATATCAGTGCCCATCTTATTATTATGAGCCCCTTACTTTTGTGAATTTAAAGTAGTACTGACAAGCCTGGATTGTGAAATGGGCTTTGCTTGGTCCTTAGGATGCTAGCCTAGATTTTGCCATTGGGGAAGATCAGTTTTCAGTTTCCCACAGTATGCTGTTTTTTTTTTTTGACAGAGCCCAGGCTCGAGTGCAATGGCATGATCTCAGCTCACTGCAACCTCCACCTCCCGGGTTCAAGCAATTCTCCCTGCCTCAGCCTCCGGAGTAGCTGGGATTACAGACGACCACCACCATGATGGGCTAATTTTTGTATTTTTAGTAGAGATGGGGTTTCGCCATGCTGGCCAGGATGGTCTCGAACTCCTGACCTCAGGTGACCCGCCCGCCTTGGTCTCCCAAAGTGCTGGGATTCAGGCATAAGCCACCATGCCCGACCAGTATGCAGCTCTTGTAGTGGCCTTCCTGAGTCCACTCTTACCTCTTGGTGTAGAAGTTACACTGCTGTGTCAGTGTAACTTCTGAGGTCAGTGTTTCCAAGTGAGATGAAGCCAGTGCTTTGAGCTGGGCTTCAAGCACAAGTGAGCAAACACCAATATTCTCACACTCTTTTTTTTGAGATGGAGTTTTGCGATCTCGGCTCATTGCAACCCCTGCCTCCCGGGTTCAAGTGATTCTTCTGCCTTGGCCTCTCCAGTAGCTGGGATTACAGGCTCCCGCCACCACACCTGGCTATTGTTTTTTGGTTTGTTTGTTTGTTTTTTGTATTTTTAGTAGAGACAGGGTTTCACCATGTTGGCCAGGCTGGTCTCAAACTCCTGACCTCAGGTGATCCACCCACCTCAGCCTCCCAAAATGTTAGGATTACAGGCGTGAGCCACTGTGCCTGGTCCCAATTTGTTGTTT